GCAAAATGGTCTCAAGGGGACATAGGAGATAACATGTTAAAAACATGCACACACAAATCAGAAAAAAAAAAAAAAAACCAAAACCCAGAAGGTAGAACAAGAGCCCAGCTTGCCCTAGCTTTGGGGAGGATGATCTAAAGCAGAGGTTCCCAACCTCTGGTCCTCCAGATGTTCTGGACTTTAGCCCCCATAATTCCTGATGGTTGGCCAAATCCCTGAAGTCCAAAACAAATGGAGGGCCAAAGGTTGGGAACCACTGATCTAAAGTATAGCTGTAAACAAGTGTATAGCCCCACTGCCAGGGCTCCTGCACTGTTGCTGCTGAGCTATAACCACCCATGATTTTCTTGGCTTGATGGAGAGGCAGTCTTAATTCTTCATCCCTTTCCCTTTCCAAGCCCCCTTTGAGTAGTTCTGTGCCTGAAAAAATAATTGAGCTTTGGAGCCAAATGGTTCTCACACCTTTAAGCACAAGGTTGTATCAACAGGCAGTGCTGAACTGCTGAGCTTCAGCCACCTCCATTGACACAGCATGGTTCTATAAACACTGTCCTAATCATTCTGACCCACACATGTCCCACACTTAAGATACTGTAGGGTCCCAGAGCTGCCATTTTGACTACAGTTTGCAAGCTTACAGAGATGGAATAGCTTTCGAACATTACCAATGCCTGTCTCAAAACCTGCTTTTTGGATCACCCAGCCTTTTTTTTTTTTTTTAATGAAGTAGAGCATCTCTACAGAGTAACCTTATGTAACTCTTGAACAGACAGGGGAAACAAGTCAATACATAAGGAAGCAAAGGGATACATTGTTGTGGAGAAAGAGGAATTTGGAAATCAAAGGGGACTGAAAAGGCAAAAGGGAAACCCATCAGAGAATGGGAAGAAAAACTCCTCTGCCTCTCAGGAAGATGGTATTAGTGAACTCCGGATGCCCCAGAAACCGACAAAGGGAAAAGAAGCATCAACTGTTCTGTCTGTGGAAAATCATTCCAATCTATGTGTCATTTAAATATACATTAAATGTAGATGCCATCTGTCGGGTATGCTTTGATTTTGAGTTCCTGCATGGCAGGGGGGTTGGACTGGATGGCCCTTGTGGTCTCTTCCAACTCTATGATTCTATACCCCCCCCCTCATTTATAATGATATTAACAGGATAGGATTCCCCTTGCCTCTCTTCCAGAATGCTTCTGCACCTCTACAGAAAACACAACCACTGCTACTTTGAAAACTGATGTGCAAAACATTCAGGCCCTTACTTAGGGTGAGGATTTAAAAAACCCTGTGTGCTCAATATAGATGCATTCTTCAAACAACTCAATCACAGTACTATCAGGACAGAAACAGAGGGAAAGAGGGGAGTTTCAGAGACAGACTATGATACAGGGCAAGTTGGGCCAAGGAGAGAGTTGACTGTGAAAAAGTAACAGACAAAACCAAATTCCATTCAATCTGGCCTGAAGCAGCCCTTTGGATCTGGCCTCAGATTTCTTTACAAGGCTCCTAGGTGATTCTTATTAGATTGTCAGAAGTTTGACTATATTTCCCCATCTCTCCCAATCCACACCAATGCTCTACTTACTCAGATATTTTGCAATTAGGGAAGAGACGCAGTTTCCAAATAAACTGCAGGCCTTATGGTCTTTAAAGAGGGGTGAGGGGAGAAAAAAGGAGATGCTGAGGTGCTACATGTAACTGGATGCTTAAATAAGGAAAATGTAGATGTCTGAATATGTTCTGTGGCCAATTTGTAGGACTCTGCCTTTCAGGTTGCAAAGTTTTGGCATGGTAAAAATAAATCTTGAAACTTAGCTATGTTAAAGAACAGGAATTTGCATTTGATACCAGCCAAACTAGGAGAGAAGTCCTTTCATCTCCTGACCACTTTAAAAGAAACAGCAGCAAAGCGCCAGCTGTTTAAGCACCACAGAATTCTCCATACAAAACAACAATGAATCTTAATACATCTTTTTAAAAAAACCCTATCTATCTTACATGCATTAAGTGTGCACACAGAGCGAGAAAAAAGCAAGTCTTATTGTTTGCAGACACAGGTGCAAGAATAAAGCAGCTGTTGACCCCAAACTGCAAGACTCTCTGAGAGCCCCACTCCGTGCCAAAGTCACCGGTCAAACACATGGCAGGAACTTGAGTCAATCCCACAAAATCTCTAATACTGACACATACGAAACATGATGGTTACTTTACAGCCTCAGGTAAAAAACAGTGAAATGTTCCTGGGTGAACCCCAACCTCTTCACAACCTTGTGGCTATTTTACAAACAAAAAGTGACTGAATTCTTTGGATTACAGCAGACGCAAAATCTGCTCTGGAGAAACTTATTTTATAAATGCTCTTTGGAGAAACCAAGCCAACCTTTGCTAAACATACAAGTGTTTGAATCATTGCTTTGTTCTACCTCTCTGGGATTATGTAAAGTAAGTGGGAAGAGGCAAGACAAAAGACTTTTAAAACACACCAAGTTTAATCCAATGCCTAATCCCCAGATCCCTTTTGTTTAGGGCAGCAGAAAATTGGCTTGGCAGAGTAGGAAACCATGGCTGACAATTGAAGGCAGACAAGGAACTGAAGCCCGCTGGCAGCTGTCAGATGTCTTCCCAACACACAATCCAAGCTCACTTAACCAAACACAGCCACAGCTACCAGGATAACCCAATTGGGCATGTAAATACTGAAGCACATCCAGGCACTTGTTAACTGAGTGGAGCCTCAGGTTAAGTTTCACAGTGTATTTTTTAGGCAGTGGTTTTGCCAGTTCCTTCCTCTGAAATAGAGCCTACAGCACCTGGCAACTGCTGGTGGTACCATACAAGTACTAAATAGGGCTGATCCAGCTTAGCTTCCTATATCAAACAGGATCTGGTGTCTTCAGGATATTTGATTTAGGGTATTATACAGATGCGCAGTAAGACAACCTTTGGATATAAGATGGCTCTTTGGTGTGAAAAGAAGCATCTCTCTTGGCAGACATGGAAAGATATGACAATCTAGAAGGCCAGGGAAGCAGAAAAAGAGCAAGAAGGAATTCTGTTGCATCAATTTAAATTGATCAGTAGAAGCACCAAGAGAGCCAGTGTGGTATAGTGGTTTGAGTGCTGTACTAGGGGTCTCAGAGCCCAGGTTTCGAACCGCTTTACAGTAATGGAAATCCATAGGGTGACCTTGGCCAAGTCACCCTCAGACTCAGAGGAAGACCATGGCAGACCCCTTGTGAAGACTATTTGCCAAGAAAACTTTATGGTAGGGTCACCATAAGTTGGAAATTACCTGGAAACACACAACAAGAAATAGCAGACAGAGGCACATGTATTACACAGACTGGGATTTTGGTCAGGAAAAATGTATAGATTTATAATTTGCTCCCTCAAATAACAACTTCTGACAATCTTGGCAATAATGAGAATCTAATGTCAATTCTATAATGTCTCCAGAACCAAAAGCTTTCTATCAGCATCCCAAAGAAGTTCAGTTTTGAAGCTCAATGATGCCACCCTGAGGGGAAGGCCCAGAAAGACACTTACACACATCACAGAAATAAAGTAAAAATACACCACACAACCTTTGTCTAGTCAACAAAACTTCAGACACACTGGAACTCCTGTGTGTGTGTATATGTGCCTTCAAGTTGCCTGTCAACATATGGCAACCCTATCAACCTTTTTTTGGTAGGGTTTTCTTAGGCAAGGAACACTTAGAGGTGATTTTGCCAGTTCCTTCCTCTGAATTCCTAGGACAACTGAAATTAAGTACCTGAACACCAGCACCAGAAAACAATTCTGACTCTGACCACAAAAATCTACAAGCACTTTAGTTGCTAAATTTGCAATGCTGATGCATCTGGACTGTTGTTATTGATATGCACTTTCAAGGTGCTTCTGACTTATGGCAATGCTAAGGGATTTCCTTGACAAGATTTGTTCAGAGGGGGCTTCCCTTTGCTTTCCTCTCTGAGAGTGTGTGACTTCCCCAAGGTCACCCTGTAGATTTCCATGGCTAAGCAGGGATTCAAACCTTCATCTTCAGAATTGTAGTCCAACCAGCCCCCAAACTTGTTAACCAGACACAAGATCATACTACCAAATTCTTTCAATCATCTTTTTGTATCTGAATCGTACTTTTTAACATTTGTATGCTGTTAATTTTTAACTATGTTTATTTTCTCTTGTCAACCACTTTGCATCCTAAACTGGGAAAAAGGCAGGATGCAACTATAACCATCACTATCAATACTAATTATTGTTGCAAAAGTTCCCCTCTTTTCCAGCTACAATCCAACCCCCCCTTTTTTTAAAAGCCATCTTCCTGCTGAAATCTCTTTTTCTGGTTTTTACATAAGCTTGTGTTTTGCTTTGAAAACCAGAAGCTGGAAGGAAGATCAATCCATGCTTGGAGACCTGAAGAGTGACAAAGGAAATTTGTAATAAAACAAAAACAAAAAAAGATCAAGAAACCTCCTTTTGCAAACCCACACTTCACAGGAGAAAGAACCAAAAGAACAGTGGAGGAAAAAAAAGAGTGTGTGTGTGAGAGAGAGATCAAAGACTGGCCCCATTTTATAGCCACTTAGGCAGTGACATAGCCAGACAAGTCAGGATGCCCCTATTGAATCCTCTGGCACTCAGGTGATGCCATGCGACTTGCAGAAAGCTGTGAAGTGTGCCCAAATCTTCAGCCCAGGCCCATCTGCTCCTGGGCAGACCGCTCTGTGCCTGACTGTGGTCATTCACATGGATGTGACAGGCAGCCTAAAAAGGGTCATTAACAAAACCAAAGGGGTTTTATGGTGGCTCAGGAACAGCAGGTAATGGGACAGACAGGGAAATACCTTTGGGAAAAGCCAGCACACTGACACTTCAAAGCACAGGCATGCTCTTTGACTGCTCTCCAGCAAGCTCCCTAAAGGCATCTCTTCAAAATGGATCTCTTGATTGCCAAGGGACACATATTCGCCTCATTTTTGCTTAGTAAAGATTGCCAAGAGTGTGGCGTAGTGGTTGGAGTGTTGGACTACGACTCTGGAGACCAGAGTTCAATTCCCAGCATGGCCATAAAAACCATTGGGTGACCTTGAGCAAGTCAGATGCTTCAGGCAACAGCAAGCCTCCTCTGAACAAATCATGCCAGAAAACCCCATGATAGCTCACCCCGAGAGTCACCTTAAGTTGGAAACGACTTGAAGGCACACAGCACACACACAAAGATTGACAAGGTTGACTAAATACCAGATCTTTCTGATTTTGGAAGCTAAGCAGGGTCAGGTTCAGTTAATACTTGGACGAAGGATCACTAAGGAATAGGCTAGACTTCAGAGGCAGGCAATGACAAACCATTTCTGAGAATTCCTTGCCTAAGAAAACCCTATGAAATTCTTGGAGTCAACATAAGTCTTCAAGTGACCTAAAGGAATATATTTAAAGAACTGCCAGTTTTCTGGAAGAAACTTCAGCATAATCATAGAATCAATAATAGAGTTAGAGGAGACCCCAAGGGTCACCCAGTCCAACTCCATTTTGCCACGCAGGAATACACAATCAAAGCACTCACCTGTGGCAGACAGCCATCTGGCCTCTGTTTAAAAACCACAGAACATAAAGTTGGAAGAGAATGAGGTGGTTCTAGAGCTAAGACGCCCTATTATGTATCTGTTGTTCAGAGAAACACTCCCTTAGAGCACAACCATAACTTTCCAAGAACTAACTTTGACTTTTTTTAAAGGAATGAAAATATCCTCTTATAAAGCCAAGTCTTGATTAAGCATCAGTGAAACAACATGTAGACACAGAAAAACTCTCCTCATTGAGAAGAAGGAAGAACCAAAAAGAAAAAAAAAGCAGGTTTGCATTCTCAAACTTGTTTCCCTTACAAGCTGAGTCTCTCTGAGAGGGTTTTTCAAAGAAACAGTTGTGTTATCTCAAAGAAGTCTCAGCTATGCCGGAAGGCACTTGCTGGCTCTACTGATCAAAAGCAGATGGCATGTGCCAGCAATAAGCAGACATGCTGCCCATAACTGAGGAGCAATCTGCGGAAGCATGAAAGGAGTGTGTTAACACCAATTGAAGAATTTGGGGGAAGAAAGGGCCATTCACCTGAAGGCAACTGGCTAAGTACCCTCTTTTGCCCAGGAATATGGCAGGACAACTTCCTCACCTCCCAACTCAATTTAGGGCAGTTTACATCATGGTGTGGAATGAGAGCTTTACATTCAACATCAAAAGGGGGCCAATATATAGAAAGGCAATCAGGAAGTCAGAGATACTTAAAAAAAGAAGAAGAAGAAGGGGGAGCTTTTGAGTCACAGTTCAAAACACCCAAGAAACAGGCCAGGGCTTGTGCTGCATATCAAAAGGGTCATTAAAATCCTTAATCAGCATTCTTGTAACAGACACACAGCAGCATCAAGGTAGAAGAAAGGAAGTTTTCCCTCCTGCCTGCCAGGATTGTTGTTGCTGTGGGCCTATCATAGATTCTTCTTGGCAAGATTTGTTCAGACGGGTTTGCTTTTACCTTCCTCTGAAGCCGAGAGAACATGACTTGCCCAAGGTCACCTGGTTGGTTTCCATGACAAAGAGAGAATTCAAATCCTGGATCCCAGCGTTGTAGTCCAACACTCAAACCGCTACACCATGCTGGCTTTCTAAACTAAGGACCAGAGGGCAGGCCAAGGAAATGCATGGCCCTCTGGATGTTGCAGGACTGTAACCCCAGCCAGCATAGCCAACAGAAAAAGGAATGGTGAGATTTGTAATCCACCAGCATCTGGAGGGCCATATGAACCTCACCCTCGTTAAAAGCTACCAAAAGTGAACCAGAAAGCATTAACACTAGGAAGAAGTGACAGTACCTGCAGAAAGAATCCAAGTTGACACCACTTTAACTACCATGGCTCAATGCTATGGAATTCTGGGAATTGTAGTTTTCTGAGACATTTAGACTTCTCTGTCAGAGAACTCTGGTGCCACAACAAATTCAGATTCCATAGTACTGAAATGTAGCAGTTTAAAGTGGTGTCTACCTGGATGATTTCTACGGTGCAGATGTAGTGTTACTTAGGAATAAGATATACTGAGCTTGACTAGACTTATTTCTCAGCAAGGGGCACAGGATTAATCTATCCATAATTTTAAAATGGCCTAAATACCCTAAAGGCATCAGAGTTGGTTCTTGGATGCCTTAAATGTATCTTTAACCATGGCATTTTTTTTTAAAAAAAATTGTAATTCTTTTTAACTTTAGAAAATGAGATTTCAACTGAATCTTGTTTTAAATTATTATAATTTTTGTAAGGGATGCAGGGAACATATTAAATAAAAAGTAGAACAAGCAGAAGATGCAGAAAGGGATTAAAGAGAGGCATCCCACCAGCACCAACAGTTATCAAAGGAGACCCATAATCAGCCCACAGATGGGCTCTGGGTGTGAGGTCTGTCATCAACCAGCCCAATTAAAACCATTGTTCCAAATGGATGAGCAGGAGTAAAAAGGAAGAAATAAAAGTCACCAATGAATATGCAGAGCAACCCAGCTCCAAGAGCCTGCTTCTTCCCAGCTCCTCAAAGGACAACAGGTAGGGCAAGCTCCCATCAGCAAGACCCATTCACACATCCATGGCAACATGTGCCTGCTGTAATAAGGACCACTAAACATCTGTGGGAACTTTGCTTCAGCCTTTTCCCCACGGTCTCATGGCTGAGTCACAGTGGAACAGGAAACAGCCACCTATTTTTTTTCAGGGTGGGGGATAAATAGGGATTTGGAAAAACTGAGGTCTTCGTCTTGCCTGATACGTTCAATGAAATCAAACTCTATTGGTTGGTCAAAAATATGTCTCTTTTGCAACCTTGTTTTACTGGTATATTTTATCTGAAGTTGAGTAGTAAAAAGAGAATCTGGAGAATTTGGAGACTTTTTTGGAAGGGTGGTATGATGGATAAAATGAGAAGTAGATGTTATATTTGTAAGGGCTAGTGACAATACCAGAAAGAAGGAACAAACAATTCCACTGGATTCACAAACTTTTTTTTAAATGCCTCATAGTGTTTCTCACAGTGTTTCAGGACACAAGATCATAAGAAGAGTGCTGGTGGAGCACACCAAAGCCTCTCTGTAGTCCAGTGTTCCCTTCCCACAATGGTCAACCAGCCGTTCAATGGAAGCCCACAAACAGGCCAGGAGGGCAACTGCAACTTCTCACAGAGGATGCCCAGCAACCTATATAGTAGAGATACTGCTGGTGGTACTTCAGGGAAATATGTATTTATCCTAACTGGAAGCTGTGGTAGCCTTACGCTCCACAGGCTACAGCAACTGCCTTTTACCTGCTCAAGCCAAGCATTATAAATCAGAAAAATAAGTTTTCAAGTCCAAGTCTTGCTGTTCAGCAACTCATTTCTGAAAGAATCATTTTGAGAACGGGATATCAACCTTCTATTGTTTCTTGCAATCTTTCCAATCTTGACTTGCTTTACCTAAATAGTCTTTCCTCTGGACGCTTTACACTATATTTCTCATCAACTCCAGCTTGCTGGGGATAATCAAAAACATTTGAAAGGCACTAGATTGGGGCACACTTCTCTATGTTATCATGTGCTTCTGAGTTGTCAACTATGGCTGAATCTGCATTGCAGGAACAATGTAGTTTGACACTGATTTAACTGCTATAGCAGTTACGGTTCTGTGAGATATTTAGCCTTCTCTGTCAGAGTGTTCTGGTGTCACAACAAAGTACAAATCCCAAGACTGCATGACGCCACAGCAGTTAAAGCAGTGTCCAACTGCATTAATTCTGCAGTGCAGATTCAGTTGGTACGTCTTTGGAAGTAAGATTTGTTCCTAGAGCATTTGGTTTGTTCTTTCTAAGTTACCCCTTCATACCATGCTAGTAAGGTAAAAATGCTGGGCATGGTTATGAGAGGATCAGGCACAGCTCCTTGTTTAGAAACAATGCTCACTGGGTAACCTTGAAAAAGTCACTCTCCGCTCCAACCAGTAGTTCTCTGGTCCTCCAAGGTTTTTTGGACCAACTCCTGAAAGCCCTAGCAAGCTTAGGCAATGCACAAGGATTCTGGGAGACGAAGTCCAAAAGATCAGGAGGACCAAAGGTCAAGAAATACTAGTTTAAGCATGGAATTTCCACCAACTTCAAAGACATAAGCAACCAACTGCACACCGAGAAAATTTCCAGAAAAGGTTGTTTGTCTTACTGCTTTACATGAAGATTACCCATGCATTTACTCCCATCGTACACATGTGTTGTGATGTTAACTGCCAATAAATACATCATAGTTTGCTTTTCCACTGAGGTTTTACTAGCTAACATGTTGACCAGTCTCCCAGGTTTAACTTTCAATCTGTCCAAAGAGAAGTGACAAGACTATAGCAGTCAACCATCAATAACAGAGCAACTTCAAGTACAGAGTGACACCTGGTGGAAGACATCGAATTAACAAGCCCAATAGTCTTAAGGCAGACACTTACCTTAGCACCCTGCTCATCCACTGAATTACTACCTGCCACAAAAAAGTGAGAGAAAAGCTTTGTAATTTTGTGCAACAATGTCCTCAGAGATTTTGCAGCTACTGGTACAGAGTAGTCTGTAACAAGATTCTGGATACAAAGGTAATTCCATTAAATTATGAATGTGCCAGGACAGCTCTTGCTATTCCAGGTTCAACAGCAAAAGTAGCTGACTTTTCTGCTATTAAGATTTTGCTATTTAATCTAGTAATCATACTAGTGAAGAAATGGGCTCTCTACATACACCCTCATTGAAGAGACACACATTGTATGAGAATACAAATCAAACTTCTGCTACCACACACCTATGTAAACTGTGAAAACGTCTACATGCACAGGTGCCTTCAAGTCTGGAAACCATGGCCCAGAGATATCTGCACATATATTTAGAGATAATGTATCTTGGTTGCACTTCTCATGTTTACTGCAGGAAATACCAACTCTTTAGGAGTAGCAGTGGGCAAAGTACAACTCTCCAAATGTTGCTTAACTGCAACTCTCATCAGCCTTAGCCAGCACAGCCAGTGGTGAAGA